AGAGAAGAGTTATTTATGTAAAATTCCACTCATGCTTGGACCTTTGGCGGGAGGCTCAGTCTACACATAAGACTCTAGTGCCACTGAAGTGTGCGGTCTTCCAAGGGGTGAGCTCTTTAAGATGGTGTTTGACATCTTCTGCTTTCTGGGCCTTGACTATTTCTCTGACACCTCTGACCTCTTTCTTCCTACACTCTGTGATTCAGCCATGACCTACTTCTCTGAAAGAGCATATTCTTCCTCACCTCCAGGACTCCACAAATGCTGTTCTCTCTACCTATGATCAACTGGCTCCCACTCTCCCCACTCTGTTAATTTCTATTCTTTCTTTAGTCTTAGTTTAAACATTGCCTCAGTTGGCCTTCCCTGACCTATAGGTCCCCTTGCTATTAGCTCTCCATACTTCCCACAACCTAATGACTGTTACTCTTCATTGTGATTACTTGCCTGAAACTTGTTTTCTTTTAGAGCAAAACTCGACAAAGGCAGAGACCAGGTCTGCTTTATTTGTAGCTGTAACCTCAGTGGCTAGAGTAGACATTCATGCAAGGAATATAAAATAAATGATTTGCAACATGATATTGAAGATGAATATAAAAGAAACGATTCACAGTGTGATATCAGAGTGTAAGTCTAGTATATGCAGCTTTTTCCAGAGACACCATCAGTGCCTTTCATCTCAGCCTAGAATGGCCTGCTTATATCACAAGGCAATCACTTTATTCCAGTTTAGAAGTGTCAGTCTTAATTTCATTCATTAATTCAGTAATAATACTTTTTGCTTAAACAATCATAGCTACAGAATGAGACTGAACCCCGAATTGCCTAAATTAACCCTATGCCACCCTGACCTCTGTGTTGTTCTCATGCTAATATTTCTCTAGAGTGTGTTACTCCCTTTTGTATCTGTGTCATGTTGAAATTATGCAGGAGCCCAACACCCTGAGAATGTCTAATGCAACTTCGAGGAAGTCCAATGCCTCAAAGTCATTGAAGATTTCCATTGCCATCTGAGAATCAAATTTCTCTAGTACCAACTCCAACCTTGTGGGTTTTTAAATGTTTCTGAATTTTTAAAGTTATTATATATATATATATATATATATCAGTCATGTTCTATCAGTCATACCCTTGAGTTATATCTACATTATGATGAAGATCTAGAATTATTTCATTGATAATTTCCTTAATATTGGAAATACTGCTGATGGGCTGCCAGAGTCCATTCCCCACCTGCTTCTCCCTTGCCCACCTCCAAACAGGAGGCAGGAAAAGTCAGATATCCACGTCACCAGCTTCCCACACAGGCGAGGGTTGCTGTATGACTGTTCTGGCCAGTGATGTGGGAGAGAGAGATTTTCTTTTCTTACCAAGAGATGGGAGAGGGAGCAAAATGGCCTTTCCTATCCTTGTTGCCTTCTTGAATCCTGCCCCTGAATGCAGTTCGATGCTGGAAATTGCAGTAGCCATCTTGCAATGGTGAAAAACCAAGGCTGAGGATGAGAGGCTAACACGTCCAGGATCACAGAGTGGAGGGAAAGAACCTGGTCACTGATGATCCTGTGGAGTAGCTGATCCAGTGTTAGTAACCACCCACCCCCAGACTTCTGGCTCTGTGAGGAAGATAAGCCCCCATTTGTTTAAACTGCCATTATATTCAGTTATTAACATCTGAGCACAATCTAACTGAAGCACCTAGTTACTTTAACATTTTCTCTGTGAAAACTAGAACAAGGTTATTGACACCTGACCATTTGTACCTGTGCTTATATTTGTTGGAAGAGTATTAGATTTTTGTAAGAAACCCAGAGGAGAATTACTAATTTAACTTTAAAAGCTTTGGTCATTTTATTTTTTTTTAAGATTTTATGTATTTATTTTAGAGAGAGAGAGAGAAAAAGAGCAGGGGGAGGGACAGAGGGGGGAGGGAGAAGCAGACACCCTGCTGAACACAGAGCTGTACCCCTGATGACACGGAGCCCGACCTGGAGCCCGACCTGGAGCCCAGCCTCGGTCTGGACCCGGGGGCTTGGTCCCAGGACCCTGAGATCATGACCTTAGCCGAAGTCAGATGCTCAACTACTGAGCCACCCGGGCACCGCTAGAAGCTTTGGTCATTTTAGTTGTAGAAGCAGAGAGGAGCTACCTCCAGCCACAATGCGTGCTACGAATTCTTAGGGATGTGCATTGCAGAGAACTTCTGCATGACTAATACCACACCAGAGCTGGGAGATCTAGGCTCAGATGAGATGTTCGGTGAAATATGTGACCATGGACATATGTTTGTCTCTGAATTTTTCTCATTTGTTGTACCATTTGTAGGATGCTTTCTCTAAAAGTAACAGGGAAACTCAGCTCAAAATGACTTAAACAATAAGCGAATTCATTGCCCTATATGACCGGAAAGTGTAGAGAGTTGGCCAAACAAGAGATTGATAATGTCACTGAGGACATCACCCTGCTGCCCCTCAACTCCACCTTCATCTTAGGTCTGACTACCCTCATGGGTACTGATGTCTGATGGCAGCAACTGAGGCTGCATACCTTCTTGTTCAAGGCCAATGTGGTCGTTGGGGGCTGGGGTGGGGAGAAAGAAAGATCATGGGTGGGAGGGAAGTCTTGAGCTTTGTGCTAATTGGAAGACCTTGAACCACTCAAGACCAGCAACCATGGAATGCCAGGAGCTGATTAAGTTAGGCCCATCATTGTGGCAAGAGGGTTGCATTTATTAGTTTAATGAATCAGGACTCACCTCTCCAGGTGAGGTGGTTGCAATCCCAGTCAAACCCAGAACCGCTACCCTACGGTGGAGGGGTAGAATGGCTCATGAGAGGGCAAGCACCACATCTCCCATATCTGTAAATGACTGAGTTGGAGTGGCTGATGTCTAAGGCTCTTTCCAGATCAAAACTGGCTGTGATTCCATGAGCGGGGTGCAATCCTATCTCTATAATTGTCTTTTTTATTCAACTCCACAATTTTATAATTGTCCTTTTCTACCTCTGAGTATAAGCCCCTGTGGAAGATAACAAGCCCCAAAATGAAGTTGATAACTCTTGGCATAACTCAGACTTGGGCTGGGGAGAGGAAGTGAAGCTGACAAGGTGACTTGTGAGGGTCACTGTGCACCAGGTGGACATGCCAACTTAGGGTGACAGTGACTTGGAACTGCTGGACTTTTAGTGGAGGCAATGTTTCTCAGGCTTGAAATCTCCCTGTCTAGAGAATGCACAAGCTGTTGGGGAAAGGAGGAAGACCTTCTCATACAATTACATTTTCCCTCTGATTTGCATTGCAAAAAATGTTTAGTACTCAAATCCTTAACACTGGCAAATCTCTCAGTCTCTTGAGGGAGTGGTCAAGGGTTTGCACAAAACGTTTCTGAAGAGAAAATAGGCTGAGTCTCCACTCCCCCCCCCCACATTTTGGTAAATACTATCTCTTTCTTTTTTATTACTGCACTGAGAATTTTACCAGATGATTTCTAGAAGCTGACTTATGAACTAATTGGGCACTTCTGCTGTGCAGAGGAACAAAGACTTTTTTTATTGGTCCTTAACTGAGGCATATACCTGTCTGATGGCGTTGGCTCGTTTTGCACATGCTCAGTTGAACAGAAATCTTCATATTGAATACAACCTAGCACAGCGGCAACACCCAGAACCTCACTCGCTGGCTGACCCTGTGCATCCACTCCCTCTAGTTGCATTTTTATCCTGACATGTCTAACATTTATAGGGAGTACAGGGAGCAGAGTAGGTACTGAAAGCTTGGCGGTGGGGGGAGGCGACATACAAAGGGTATTAAAATATCTGTCCCTGCCTTCCTGACCTCTCTCTAGACTGTTTCTACTGAGGGCAAGCGCTGGATAGATATTTGTGGAGTTTGGGGCAGAATGCGGGAGAAGCTGTCGCTATGAATTGTCACTTATTGTTGCACACCTTCCTGGGCAGTTTTTGTCTGGTTCTTCTTGTAGGTGGACGACTCCCCCTTCCCAGCCCTCATTTGAAATAAGGAATGCAGCAGTGGCACTAAAAGCATCCGCCGCCTACCATGGTCTGGGATGTCAGCGTCTCCACCTCTCTTCTTGCTTTTCCCATTCATTAGGACCCTTCCCCAGCCTCTTTCCCCAGCAAAAACTGGGCAAGGCTTCCTGCGGTTACAAAAGGAGAGGGGAGCGACGGGGGTTGGAGCCTCTCGCTGCGGAGAGCCAAGAACGTGCGTTCGGTCGTGGACCTTTTGTCCCAGGGCCCCTTCCGCAGCTCGGTCGCGGAGGCGACGACCCGACCGGCCCCCGCCTGAGCAGCTGCAGCCCGCGCGCCCCTCTGGCCGACCCCCCCACCCCTTCTAGATCCCCGACGCCCGCCCGTTCGCCGTGACGTGGCCCGCGGCGCGCGCATGCGCCGCTCAGCCAGGTTCCCAGTCCCTCGGCCACCGCCTCCCGACGGGCTGGAGTGGGCGGGGCCTGTGGTTCTGGAAGCCGCGCGGCCGTAGAGGGAGGAGGGCGTGTGTGCGCGAGGCGGGTGCGCGGGGCTCGCGAGCTCGTCGGCGGCTGGGGCGGAGGAGGAGGAGCTGAAGGCGGCGGCCGCGACTCCCGCCCGCACAGACAGCCAGTCCCGCGAAGCCCCCTCCCACTCTCAGGCGGGCGGCGGCGGCGGCGGGAGGAGGAGAAGGAGGAGGGAGCGTCTCTGCCGCCGCCTCCTGGTCCCCAGCGCTGATCTGCCGCCGCCACCTCCCTCCGCGGCGATCCTCCCTCCATGGTCCTGCCGCGGCCCCCCTTGTAGCCTGAGCTGCCCCGCGCCGCGCCGGAGCCAGCCTCGGAAGAGGGAGCGGTCGCGGCCTCGCGGCCCGCGCGGGCTGACGAGAGGAGAGCGCGGCGCCGCGCCGTCCCCGAGGATCCGCACGCCGGGCAGCGCGGCCCGAGCAGCGCGAGGAGCAGCGGGCGGGCGGGCGGCGCCGGGCCCGGGCCGCCCTCGCTCCCGCGCCCCGGCCCCGCCGCCCGCGCCGGGGCGGTCGCCCGCAGAGGAAAGCGCCGCAGTCTCCGGGCCTCGGCAGCCCCACTCGGGCGTCCTCAGCACCGAGGGCTCGCGGGTCCTGAGGGGAGGAGGCGAGCCAGGGGCCGGGCACTGAGCTCTTTGGCGCCCCCACCCCCGATTTCGGAGCCCTCCACGCTGCGGCCGCTGTCCCCTCCGGACCATGGCCGACGACGACGTGCTGTTCGAGGATGTGTACGAGCTCTGCGAGGTGATCGGCAAGTGAGTCCCCACGCGAGGGAGCGGGAGTGTGGAAAAATGCATTTCAGTGATGCCCGGGTCCTCCCGCACCGGCACCCGCTCTGGGCCTGCCCCCTGCCCTCCCTTCCCCTCCGCCTCCCTCGTCCTCCTCACCCGGGCGTATTTATAGACGTGTACCTGGACCTCCTGCCGGGCGAGGATCCGGGGGGTTCTCAGCGATCCGTGGAAGCCACCGAGCCGAGGTCGGCCACCCCACGAGGCGTGGGGCCGGCCGAAATCCGCTGTCTGCATTTTATCTGACGGTTGCCCAGGGACGTGGCAGACCCGATTTTATAGTTGCTTCCTGGGAACAGTTGGGGTTATTGTTACCTTGCGTGTACCACAGACCATTAACGAAAAGAGCAGCTTGCATTTTCCTTTGCTTGCATGGAGCGATAGAGAGAGAACGTCCAGGGTTTTTAATTGTGGGGTGTGTGTCTATTGTGCAGGATATTAGATAGATGCCTTTGTGTTCACCCCATGCACGGATTGGAGGGGGTCATTTTCAGACGGGGTGCGTTCGGTTTCAGCAAATTCCTCACCTGGTGTTGACCAGCGTGGAAAGAGTTGGGGGTATCCGAATTTTTAATGCCTCGTTATGCAATGACTGTTAAATCAGTGTTCGAGGCTTCCCTCGACTGTTGTTGGGATGGTGGTGGTTCGTGTGGTAGAGCCGTCTGCTTTGAGTCACCGGGCTGGTCTAGAATATAGAACTGACAGTCCAAATGCTCATCCTTTCATCTGTGTTGTATAATTACACTAGGGAAAAGCAGGGAATCAGATTAATCACAGTGCTGATTGAGAATTAAATCTGCAGTTCCTCATCTAATTGTCCATTCCTTAAATCTGTTTTGAATAGTTTCCTTTTCATTCTTGTCAAACAGTATTCCAAGTGCACAATCCTGCTAATTTGCTTGTGAGGGAAAAGGCTGGCGATCGGAAGTTGATTTCCTAGTTAGGCGTGTATTCTGTGCCTTTAGAAGTTGAGGAGATAAGATTTAAGAGCAATTTTTGCTGCTTTATTAAGGATCGCTAGGTAGCTACCATTGAAATATTTTACCTCTTTTTGGAAGCGGTGCTTTATTGTCTATTTTAAGGTCCGCAGTTGGGAAATGAAACCAAGACCTTAGAGCAGTTGGCTGTATCCCTTTTAAGTTGTCTGCAGTACTGGATTTCAATTTGTTTAAGTGCTGATAACTCATTTTTTTCCTTCTATGCTGAGGTATTACCGTGTTGCCTCACTTGGTGAAATTATGGGTAGAGCTTGCTACACACTTTGCTCAGACCCAATTGATACAAGGACATGTTACTCCTTGCCCCTATTGTTACATGACCAGCCTGTCTAGGAGAGGAAGGATATCCAAATGTGCCCTGTAAAGTGCTTGTGGAAGTGCTCTAGAGCAGCGATGTCCAAAGATATATAATGCAAGACATACGTGTAATTTTTCTATACACAAATTTTATATATGCAAATTTTGTAATGGCCACATTAAAAAATTAGACGCAAATAGGTGCAATCAATTTTAATAAAATATTTTATTTAACACACTAGATCCAAACTATTAGCATTGCAACACATAATCAGTGCAGAAATTATTAATGAGGTATTTTACATCCTTTCTTTTTGTACTCAGTCTTTGAAATCCAGTGTGTATTTTACACTAACAACACATCTCAACTGACACTAAGCTAAATTTTCACCGGAAATACTTGATCTGTATTTAGGTTTCATAACCTTTGCATTTGCAAAAGTAGATTCACACTCCCAAGTTTTCCCAAACGTATCTAAAAGTTTTCTAATAACCTAATCGATACTTCTTTCTAAATTTAAATTTTGATTAATTAAAATTAAATAAAATTGGAAATTCAGTTTCTCAGTTGGACTAGCCACATTTCAAGTGCTCCACAACCATATGTGGATAGCACTGTTCTGTAGAGACAAACATGCTTAAAAAAAAATCTCCTTGGTTTCTTCATTCTTAGCACCCGGTGAAGGTAAATTAGGGTTTCCCAAAAGCTCCCAAATGATTGTGTGTGTGGGTGAATTATACTTGTTGTGTCTTAGTTATATTTGCTTTAAATGAGCCAGCAAAGTCATAATTGGAAAATGTGAAATTAAAGTGTTAATTATATCGTGATGACGGAATATAGCCATCATTGGATCAATGTTAGTAACCAGTTCTGATTCCTTAAGGTCTGATAGAGTGATGATATGATCTCTTTGGATATCAAAACGAAGTGGTCAGCATCACATTAGCACAGTGTTCTGCTGGCTTGTAATTGATAGAATGTTTTCAGGAAACACCTCTGGTAGAACTAAATTCATCTTTTCTGTCGCTTCAGAGCTGCAAAAGGAGGGAGAGCAAGCTGATTCTGAGGTGATGGGTACCCTATGGCTTCCTTAACTATTGTGAACATGAAATCTCATTCATACCCTACAAAATCTGACTTGGTCAGTGCCATTTATAATGTGTCATTTCGTGAAATAATGAATTCAAGGTAGCCTTCATGGTAAAGAATGTAATGATAGTGGTCCTCACCCTGTGTAAAGGTTGAAGGTTTCTCCGGTAAATTGTCTCAGCATATATTGATCTGGAAATTGAAATTCACTTGAGATTTTCTTGCAGGGACCTTGACAGCATACATTTTAACTTAGCATTTGTTCAACTGTAGCTTTAAACAGAAAGGCCTTGAAGATGTTCACTTGTACTGGAAACCTTTTCGTTGATTTCTATCCAAGTTCTCTAGAATTGTGATTTTCTTGTATACCAAATTAGTATCACAAATTGTTTTTGACCCTTAGGTGTTAATAGGCTTAAATTTCCACTGAGGTACTTCAAAACGGATTTCAGTTTTCAAGATCATTTGACCACCCACTCGCTCCCCTACCTCACTGCTTATCGACTCACTCATTCATCCAGTGTCTGCGAGGGTATCATGAGCCTGATTCATTAGGAATATTGGGAAGATGCCATTTCATTAAAAAAAAAAAAAACCTCTTTCCCCGTGTTTCTTATTTTTGAAAATCTTAACAAAAGCACCTTTGAATGCCCATTGTTTCCATAACATTTTCCTGTGTCACATCTTTCAAGTGACTGAAACAAATCGCCAATGATGGGACCTTATCCTAGTCCCAAAACTTCTCATCCTCTCAAATGTAGCAATTGGGAAAGAAAGATTTTATGCAAATGCAGGAAATTGGCTTATTTTTATGCCGTGATCATTTACTGTATCTTTTGCTTTAGAGGTAAGTGTACAATCAGTAATATTACATGAAGGCAATTTTAAAGATGATTCATCCAAATTAAAGCTTAGAAATGCCTACCTTCATGGTACAGGAGTGTCTGTGAAAGAAAATAGCAAAAGGCACACCGTTTTCACCTTGTATGGGCTGCCTATTTGCCCTGGTATTTAGGATTCTTAGTAACCTGTAACTTCTGACTTTCCTGCTTTGGTAGGACATAACACTAAATTTGGAATGATGCAGCATGACCCCTGCTCAAGGATGACATGCAAGTTTGTGAGGCATGCTGAATTTGCTTGTACCTTGAGAGCACTTACCATATTTAATTACAGTTTCTTATTCACGAGTTTCTCTACCTAGCGAACAGGAAGCTTCTTGAGGGCAGGGAACATATATATATATATCTTTCTCCATTACTTAACACGGGGCCTGCGATGTAACGGTTGCTCATTAGCTATGGAATGAATTGAGTAGTTTTAATAAAATCTCATTAAAAGGCAAAAAGCATGTTTATCAACTTCAGAGCAATTATTGTCCCAAAAGGCTGTATTAGTTTGAAGCAGTGGCTCTCCACCTGGCTGCATATTAGAATCACCAGGGGAGCTTTTAAAAAATATCAATGCCGGGGCCCTGTGTCAGAGCAATAAAATCAGAATCTCTGGGAGTGGGTCCTGGACACTGGTATTTTTTGAAAGCTCTCTAAGTGTTTCTAATGTGCAGCTACGATTGAATCAGTGGTTTGAAACTTAGGTGATGTATGTAATATTTTGGGACTGGCTTTTCAGAGGCTTACAGGTTTTGAAAAGTAGAACAAATGCTTTTTGGGAGGTATTGAAGCCAAGAGACGAAAACGGGGATTTTATCTCCTCTATGCTGTGTCTCTGAGCCCTGGTGTGTCAGAATTTTGTTTCAGCCTGTGTGTGGCTTTGATTTCTTGGGTCTTTTAAGATTCACATTGATTTATGATGCTCGTCTGATGCTAACACAGTGACTGATGTTTGGAATAACATGGAACGAGGATTGCTTCAATTAGCAGTTGATGATGGCTGTCCACTACAACGACTTAATTTAATATTAAGAGATTTATCAGTTCAGTATGGATTGTGTTTGCACATATACTCTATTAAGCGTGTGGTTATGTTGCTTATATACTTCAAGTCCACACTTGCAATTCCATTAACACCGTTTACCAGAGAATTGAGTTAAATGCAGCCTTTATGTAAACACTGGATTAATCATTTGTAAAATATGTCACTTAACATGACGAAAAATTCAGCTTTACTCTTTTTACTAATCACCATGGCTTGCACATATATTGGTTCACCCACTGATTTGGATTTCCAGTACCACAGAGGGGAACGTTACAATACGTTGGAACATCTTTCTTGGAAATTGTATCTAGACATTGTAGGCAAATTAGTTTTTAGTGTCTGGAAAAGTATGAGCCCGAAGGAACCAGGAATTTACCAGAAATGCATAGATGTTTCATGAAAGAAGTACTTGATCAGGGTGACAGTCATGTAGCAAGGTAGAAGAAACACAGTAACCAGCTAGCCTGTTGGTGGCCCAGAAAGGTTCAAGCCAAGGGGGATTAGCTGCAGTTCCACAGAAGAAAAACCTGTTAAACACGGTGTGGAAGCCTGCACGTGGCGGGCCTTTTGGGGAGTAGGTAAGCGGTGTTGATTCCTGATGATGGAGTTGGCTTCTGGGACGATTTGGAGGGAACTGAGCTTTTCTG